GTGTTTGTAGAAAAACTCGTTCTTTCTGAGACTTCACCTTTTCATCTCACCAACATTTCCACTTCATGCTGCTAACTTGCTCTGTCCTGAAACAAATTTCTGTCTAGCTGGGGGATGGGGGTGTGGGCATGGGGGTGGATGAGGGAGGGAAATGGGGTGGATTGCTGGGGAGTGGCTATCATTAAATAGACTTTGTTATTGTCTTCAAGTAAGGACAAAAGTAATGTCTTCTTGGTGCTGTGCTGTCTACCCGTTTTTCTCTTTGGTGTTATATCTCTCTTCGGTGAGAGATCAATATTGCTTTTCTCTTTTTCTGTACTACTCTGCTTTACTCTAGTCAAAGTCCTTACTGTAATAGCTGCTCTAGAGGGGGGAAAAAAAAAGACTAATGCACTTACCTCTTCTAGTCATAATTTGCAATCTCTTTTCCATCTAGCCTGGAAAACTGAGGCCAAATATTTGCTTTGAATTTAAACAAATCAGGGATGGATTTGAAGGCTTGAGTTTGGGACACCATGTCACTTTGGGCCTTAACCAGCACTTGCTTCACTTATGTCATCTACAAAATGGAGAAAATCTCTGAGCTGGTAGGATTGTTGAGTGTTCCAACATGTGTCACCCAAGTATTTTTACCAAACGTGTGTCCTGCCTATACTGTTATTTACTTTTTTATTTAAGTCAATTCAAGTTTTCACTTACATAAATTTATTTTAGAAAGAAACATTGTATCAGTACCCCAAATAGAAATTCAGAATTGCCATTAATAGAAAGCAGCCATAGAGAGGAATAAATGAAAACAAAGCAAGATTATTAAGTTCTAAACGGGAAGCCAACGCACAGAGCCTCCTCTCTGCTTCCGAGTTTGAAAGGGAGAGTGTCAGAGAGCTGTTAAGGCACCCGCCTCCCATGAGGGGTTCTTGAAGCTGAGAAGAGGTGAAAGGGAATTTACCAGAGAGAACTCCCAAACTTTTTGAGCTAATGTGATTTCATGACAAGCTGCATTCCACATATTGTGGCAGCATAGAGAGAAAGGAAGTGAAACTGCTTATATTTTTAACTACTGCTATACTCGGTTCAGATTAGGTTTCTCCTTTCCTTTTCCTTCCTTTTTCAGCTCTCCCCAGAACATATCTTAGGTAATAATAAAATAATAATAAAAATGTAATAATGTAGCAATAATAAGAGAAGTAACATTTAATGAGCTCCTTTCTGCCAGGTACTATGTTAAGTGCTTTATTTACATGGATCATCTCATTTAATCCTCATAAAACCCTTAGAAGATAAGTACCAGAATTTACCCTGCTTTCCAGATGAGCATGCCTCCACTGAGAGATCTGGTGACTAGTCCAAGGTAATAGACCTGGGAAGTGTGGTTTGGAATGGGAACATCGGTAGTCTGACTCTAAAGCCCATGGTCCTAGACGTGTGCAACACGGTTCCTTATTTGGACTGACTTACTCCACATCCACATGGCAGAGACCCTGTTCCAGGAGGGAGCAGTGAACAAGCCAAGGCTGGCCCCTTTCCTCATGCTGCCTTCCATGTCATCCTGGGACCTGGAAAGGAACTTGGGACATGCCTACTCCAGAGTGAAACTCTGCCACACACCCTCTGTATCTTCTTCTGCTCCCTTTCACTCTCTGAGCCTCTCTGAGCCTCAGGAGGAAAGGCCCTTCCACACTGATCTTTCATAGTCTTCCCAGTATTCAGCAGCCTGGAGTCACTGAGTAACCAGCAAAGAGACCTGGGAATCAGGTGTGTGAGCCAAAGAGAGGATTAGTCTTTTGTGTTTCAGACCATCGCTGGGGCTGCCCACAGCAGGAGGGACCCCAGTGGAAGGCAGTTTGACTTCCTCACATTTCGAGTTGGAACTTGGAACACTACATGGAAATGTTCCCATACGTCCCATCAACTCAGCACTGCAGGCTTCTCAGCACTTTACAGCTTCTGTGCGCTTTCACAGCAAGGTCTCTGAGCCTCTCCCAGCAGCTTGCGGGGGGG